GTATTGTAGGCAGAATAATTACTTCCATACCAGAGTACTTTGGGCATTAACAATCAATGAATAATTATTTAAATTTTCAAATGAAGTATTTTAGTCACGCCTCTAGTGTTGGATGTTATCAGACTTTAATAAGATTGTGATTTCTTCTTTTTAGCGAATTTCCCATATAGGGAATAAGCTATTACCGTAGTACTCATGGTAAGACCCGGACGCGGGACCGATTTTTTTTTTCGTTTTGAAGTCCCTAGAGGCCAAAAACACCATCCGTTCAAATTCATATATATATATATATATATTTATATATATATATATATATATATATATGTGTCCGTCAGCACGATAACTCGAGCAAAAATGATCCGATTTTGATGAAATTTGGTACAAACGTGTAAACGTACGTTTATTCGAACGAGTTCGCGATCCAGCATGATCGGACCATGGGAACGGGGGTTTACGGGGGGTTTTATGGGGTAAAAATAGGTTTTTCCCATTTTTGACCCAAAAAACATAAAATTTAGCAATTTCTTTCCAAACCATTTTGTAGAGCTTAAAAAAACAAATAATTTAGTATATTGAAGCGTTATTATGCGCCTAATGGTTACGGAGAAAATTCAAAAAAATTGTAAATTTAAAATTCCTATGTTATTCTTATGGAGAATAAGTAAACTGTTGTAGTTTGCTTGTTTGTGAACATATTTTGATCAAATTTGGAAAATGTTTTTATTTCTTACTAACTATTCACATTTTACACAAAAAAAACAGTTTTACCCTCCCTGATGCAGCAAACCTAAGTACTTGTTAAACTAATTCTATTTAAATCAAGAATAAATGTTATATTTTTAAGTAGACATTTCAGTGTAAATCCAATCAGTCAAATGGAAATTCGCTTAGTCTGCAGGTTTGCTGCGGCGGGGGTATTTCATGTCTACTATGATTTATGTTCTGTCTTTCTCCCATTACTTTTTGCCTTGGCATGCCTTAGTGGTCTTTCTCCCTCTGAAATCGCCCTACCTGGCCTTTGTTTATGTGCTTTGATTTTTAGTGGTTTAGTGTGTTTGTCTTTTGTGCTTAAAGTTTATAACTCTTGTTTTTTTCAAATCTTCAGTAAAAGTTTAGCTTTCTCATATCTTCTTTTATTTCTATCATCCATTTGATGTTGATTTTGCTATTACATAGTTTTTAGGATCTTCCTCCATATCCTGAATAATGTCTAAAGAATGAGATATTCTTTTCTTTCTTATTGTGCTTGTTACTGTTTTTTTTTTTCTCTTTAAGGCTGTTCATTTTGTAACAGTGTCCAATGTCTGTGTACTTTGTAGTTTTTACTGACTTATGTTAACTAATATCTATGTAAACTATTAAAGGGGGTTTTAATGGCACATATGTTATTTTCTGGATGCGCGACAGTTAAACTTGTTTTAACATAGTGGCTATTGAAAACATCCTTAATTTTACATGTTTTTGGTAGTGTCTAGTCAATTTATTTATAATTTAATTTTTTTTCCCGCAGCTCTCGGGATACAGTACTACCTGATCTCTTGCCGCGTGACTCAGACGTACGACGCCGGTTGTTGTGTCTACTTCTACTTCGGATTCAACTGGCGCGGACTCGCCGACCCGGTCGGCAGTTACGAGTTGATAGAGGAGAGAGCAAGAGATGAGATAGTGGCCTGCGGAGGCTCCATCAGTCACCATCACGGCGTGGGAAAACTGAGACGGAGATGGTGAGTATTACTATAGAGTTATTTAAACACTCACAGAAACCTCCGTCCCTATGACTGCAGAGAAATTTTAACGAATAACATCAACACTGTTTAAAAGCTGATGCTCCTTTCAACCAAACATTTTCCAACTCTAATCAATTTTACTTTAGTGTAGGCCTATCTCTTGTTATTTCTTGTAGTGCTTAGAAATCTAATATTGAATCCTAATTTCTTCTGGAGATTTTTTTCTCTCATCTCACACACTAGTAGTATTATTTTGTCAAAGTCAAAATATCTTTATTGTACATTCATTAACAACTACAATGGTGTCAAAAATGATTCAAATCTTTTGGAAAACTGCTTTTACAGAAGTTCTTCGATGTTATCTAGGAATTTGTTCAATGTGTAAAATGGTCTTCCCTTCAGCCACCTCTTAAACTCTTTTTTCAGTGTGTCCCCTATAAAACTGTACATGGAACTTCATGGATGCTGCTGGTAAATTCTTTTGAAGCTTGCAGTCGGTATAAGATAGATTTTTCTCCAAAAGAGTAGATCGATGAAGAGGCAAGTTAAACTTGGAGCCATGTCGAGTGTTGTAGGAGAGAAAGTCTGTTTCTTGGTGTGGGTCTAGTCTGTCCAGATCATAGATAAAACATACTCCCTTAGTAGATTTCTCATCCTAATGGAACAGCTGAAGACAATTTTATTGTTAGTTCTGTACGGTTTATGTTAGAGGTCGTGTTTTGTTTACAATTTGTTTCCCGTTAATACAGACATTTAAAACCTCGTTTAACCAAATAATACGATCTAACCATAAACAATAAATTGTCCCCTAGTTATTTAACCAAAAAGTAAAGCACAAATCAAGAAATTAACCCTAAAATAATATAAACAAAATTTCGTCGACACTAGCGCCCAGTGTGGCGTACAAGAACTAGACATGAAAAACGAGCTTCAAAATTTACAATGGGATGAGAAGTCTACTTGTGTTGGTTAGTCTATGGTCCAGATGCAGAAAACTCTCATGTATATACAAAGATGCAACTATAACTATTTCCAGGTGTTTGTAGTTATTCTTCTTATTTATGATTTTCAGTTAACATTTTTGTTTTTGATCCTGTCTCAATCTTGAGTGTGCACTGATGTTTTAACGGATTTTATTTTTCAGCTTGTATTTAACCATTGTCTTTTTTGTCGGTTGTAGTGTTAGTATGATAGTTTATTTTACAAACATGTTTGACAGAAATATTTTAAGCAAACACAATCTGTTATTCAAGCCATCTGTTTGCAGGTATCCTCAAACTGTATCTCAGCTAGGAGTTGAACTCTTCAGTACCTTCAAGAATCAACTGGATCCGAAGAACATTTTTGCCAACGGAAATTTACATACTCCTTCAAAATCCACACATTTTGATAAGTGAAATGTTAAAAAGTCAATGAAGACATTTGACTTTTTGTTCCAAACCACCAAAAAGTTGCATTTGTATTAATATGTTTACTGTAGTCAAAATTTGCTAGATATGTTAGCTTTATTTTCCCTAGTGTTTGTGTTTAAAGGATGTTTTTAAGAAACCCCAGGGATATAAATCATGACAACATTATTTAAACAGGATTAAAATTGTTGGGTGAAAAATGTTGACCATCTTAATTTATTATAAAGTATTTTTTTAGAAAAAAAAAGATTTTTGTGATGGAAACAAACAAAATTAAGATTAATAAATGTGTTAAAGTTACTCTGTATTATAAACAATCAAAGATAATAAATTGTTTTATGTTTTAGGCCTTCAGAGCAATCACTTACTTAATTTGCTTAGATATGTTGCAGAGATATTACTTTTACACACTTTCAATGCTTGTTTACTTTATTTTCATTGATAAAAAAATCAAAAAAGTACTAGCAATGCAAACAAGTTATTTAGTGCATTCTAATTTTTCATTCAGCAAAATTAGGCAATATTAGTATGTTTAAATTAGTTTCAATTTTCAATATTCTTAAATTTAATTCATAGTCTTGACAATAGTTTGTATGTATTTTATTCGGTTTAATATTAATTTAACTTATTCTTCGTAATTTTACGGCATAGTTAAACACCAGAAAAATTGCATTTTAGAGCTTGAAATCTAAGTCATTAGTAGTAATTAATTTTATTTCTTCAATTTATATTAATTTAAATGAACCTGAGCCATGATAATGTTTATAAAGACATCCTAACAAAATTTAAATGTATGCTTTTAACTATACTGCCAAGTACAGTATTCGTGATGTTCTTAGCTTTTTATATCACTTTTTGTGTGTTTGTGTTTATACTTTATGTTACCATTTAGTTTAAGGTATCACTTCCTATCTTCCTTGTACTTCATACATTGTGCTACTTATAAGATTCAATGTCTTTGTAATTACTTAAATAAAGTTAATTGCATAATTGAGTATCTTTTATCATTTTAAATCTAAGATTGCTGATTTAATCTTTAAAGAGGAATTAGAGAACCCGTTGCTTTTAACCTTTGGTCATAGACGACAGGTTGATGGAAGACAGTGATAACAGTGTTCCAAAAGTATTTTAATTTTCTTCCCCCATAGGCCTACATAATAGAGTAAGTATTTTTTTATTTTTTATTCTCGGGTTTGAGTTTAGTATGGAAATATTAGTTTTGGGTTACCCTGAATCCTTTGAAGTGATGTTTGTGTGTGTGTATGTCTGTCTGATAGTAAGTATTTATGTGGATGCTACGTACTAAATCGGTGGTCTGATTTTGATAACATTTTGTATGTGGGTGGTTCAAACTATTATTATTAAAATTTGGTATGTGTCCTATTCATGGTCCTTTTAACTCTAAAAAAAATCCCAATGCTGTAAAAATTATGATTCAAAATTCATACCAGGAAAATTGGTCTTTATGTCACATCTGGTTCATTGATGTAAAAGTAAAATATTTCATTTGTAATACAATCCAACAATTCAATGAGATAATGTTAAAAGCATATAGGCAGATATATTTTTGCAATCAACAGTCAAGTAGGTATTCAATCTTAAAACAGCCCAAAACTTCTTTTTCTTCTATGTTTTAAGATGATGCAGAACTCCCAATTAAGATGAACATTCAATCATGAATTAAGACAACATTTAAAAATCCATATTTATTTGAAACCTTTTTTATAAATGTAATATCAACGCCTTAAGAAAGTATATGCATTATATTCATATACTAAAGCTGGATTGATTACACCAGTTTTTCTAGGTAGTGTAATATTGCAAAATGTTTTATAATAAGAAAGGGATTACAAAGAAAACAATCTTACAAATGTATCACAATTTATTCTAATCGTTCCAGTAAAATTTTGTTTCTTGAGAAGATTGTTTATCCTCTTAAGGAGATAAGCAACGTTTCTGAAAAAGAAGAAAAGAATACAGGTTATAAAGAAGAAAGTCTTAGAGAAAGAAAATTAGTAGAAAATAGATGTTGTAAAAGGCATGCACTGAAGTAGAGGTTTATCTTTCTGAAAGCCAAATAAACTATTTCTTTACTTTTAGCATAGCAATTTACTCAATTATTTTATAATATTAATATTAGTTTTTTCTCGTAAAATTGGCGACCTTAATAATTTCCATGATATGATGAAATTTTTTTATTATGAGGTGTTCACAATTGATTGCCAGTTCATTTTTAACTGCTCTACTTGATACTTTTGTAGTCTTGACTCCTCGCATAATCTGACTGTGCCATCACCTGTCGATGATAATTGTATTGCGGTAATATCATAACCATTTAAAATGGTTGTGTGGGCATCATCACCACTCTTTTCTTCATTTTTACAAATTGCGGGGAAAATATTGTTCATCCACTGCCGTCACAGAAACATCATAATCTTCCGTGGTCACGAAAACATTACCATTGACTTTCACAACCACAGAAAAATCTCAGCTAAATCCCACGGTCATGGTAAAAGTCGTCCTTTTCACTGTTCCGATCATGTTCCTGGTTCCGTAAGTGACGGATTAGTGGAGTCTTAATTGTGTTCAATTTGTGTCAATAATTGTAATTTCTCAACAAACTGCTTTAACGTTTTGATTGCTGATAATTTAAGCAATAACAAAAAAAAACACAAAAAAATATTTGCATAAAACTGTAACATTCAAATTCAAAATACAAAATAAAAATGATTGATAGGAAGCTAAACTAAATAAAATACCAGTTTATAAAAAAATATGTATATTTAAGAATACACAAGAACTAATACTAACAAAATATAAACAAAAACAGTTAACAGTATAATAAATAGCTTTCTTTCAGACTAGAATAGAATAGTAAAACTCTACAAGATAAACTAACAAAGCAATTGGGATTTTGTATTTATTCAATAGTTTATTAACAAAGCAATTGGGATTTTGTATTTATTCAATAGTTTATTAACAAAGCAATTGGGATTTTGTATTTATTCAATAGTTTATTAGTTTAAATTCAATTGACCATAAATTACGTACATCACAGTATAGAGGATTTTTTTATTACTCACATTACACATGTTGTTAAAATATATTTCTACCAATTACTTCACACGTTAAATATAAGGTGCAACTTGTACTCTGAAAATTTGTATATTCTACTAGAAAATTGTACTATCAAAACTTTTCAAAACCATTCTTTAATTTCATTTTGTAATTCAAAAGAGAAAAGTGAGTATTACTTACTTACAACGATAATACCATATTTAGGGATTAAAAAATTCATCAATTTTAAGTAAAATACAAAATGTAACAAAAATACTTTTATTTTTACCCTTTCTACATATGATTCGTACTAAAAGTATCAAGGAATGTAAGGATGGTACTACTATACCACAGGGCATCTATGTACAGGCATATGATACAATAATTATCTACAAGCAACAAATAAATGGTGCATTAACCAAAGACAGTGACGCTCATATTATGGAGAATCCAATTACTAATAGTACAAGGTGTTTATACAAAATCCAATGTTGTTCAGTATTGTAGTAATTTTTCAGCGAATTTCCTGATATGGAAGAAGCAATTAGCCATAGTTGGCACGGAAAGGCTTAGACTTGGGGAGTGATATACTTTTTATTTTGATGTCTCCAAAGACCAAAAACGTTTGAAATTAGTTATGTGTGTCCATAAACACAATAACTAGGGTAATTTTGGTCCAATTTTTATGAAATTTGGTGTGGGGTTGGATGATCTTGGTTGATGTAGCGAAGAAGCAAGATAGGATAAGAGAAATTATTTCTCTTTAACCTGTCCTACATCAGGACCAAATATCAGTGTTATGTTTTGTATTTGTTAATGTGTAACTATAAGCCCCTGGACTCAAATTTTCTCAGGTATGCTAGCTGAATTCTATTACTTTTCAAAACATCTCTAAGTAAATTGCAAGTGTAATTCACTGTACATTTTCTTTTGGTGTGAACACAACATTCACAACAAAATATCCCTTGTTGGAACTTCTTGGGGCGGAAAAAACTTAAAAAAAATACTTTATAAACACCCTGTACTCAAAAAGGATCAAAGATTCTAACATTGAGTATCCCCAAACGAGCAACCTTATCACACAAATCTACATGAGACGGAGAGTTAACTGACTTTGTCGTTGAGGTCGTATCCAGGCTCTTCACTGAGGGAGGAATGTTTTGACCGCAAATGTGTCGGAGTAGAGGTGCCCGATCCTGGGTTCCCGTTGTGTTTTAGGTTAGTCATACTCTCAGGACTGACGTAGTTAGGGCCTGAAACAGAAAAATAAAATAAACATTAATCTTTAAAAATAAAAGATCCAAATACTTGTAACTTTGACAATGAGTTCCTAGATTAAGAGCCCAGATTAGACTGAGGAAACCTTTTTCCCTTATACTGACTGGACATTCCATTTTTAATAAGGGGGGGGAATGGTTTTTATTCTTCTGTTTGATCCTGAGTTTTAAAAAAAAAAAAACAGGTAAGGTTTCTTTTAATTAGTTTTTTATCTGAAATAGGTCATGAAAAAAGAACGTACCAGTACTTGAATTGAACCTTTGACCGATTGTGTAAAGTAAATGATTTTTCCCAGTGATGATTTTTTTTTATTCCAATACAAAAAATCTATACTTTGTTAGCCATAGCATCTTTTATAAAAAACAAAGTTTTCATATAGCGTAATAATTATTATATAGATGAATTGGAAAGGGCACACCTTGCATAAGGGATGGAGACAAGCAAAGGAGGCATTGTAGAGAAATAAAAACTGGAAAATAACATTTATAAGGTAGTTTGAGGAGAAATTTAAAACCACAGAGAAGTAAGGTACAGACACAGCAGGCATTCAATGGTACACTCAAGTAATCGCTAGCTCTAGTCACTGGTGTCTTGGGCAATGTCCAACACCACCCTCCTCGCCCAACGCCTTTATAACGCTCACGATGGAAGAAGACATTGATCTTGTGTGATAAGAATTTCAGCACAGTGCTCGCCACTCTGACTCTTCCCTTCCTAGTCACTATTATATTTCCGGCAAAATATACCAAAGCTAAAAATCGCATGGTCTTACCATAAACATCTGTACCTTTCATAAGCATCTGTGCCAAACCTTAGATAAGAGAAAAGCTACCAACTGGGTTAGTGATGCTATTTTTTATTTGTACAGAAGTATAATCAACTTACCTTTAATCAGCTGAATCAGGGTGTCGTCAAAGCGGAAGAACGTTCCCAGAGCTGAGTCGAACCCAAGAGCTGTCAACATGGCCTCCTCTCCCCACCTCCAGAAATACACGGGCTGTTTACGAGCAGCTAGGTCCTCCGTTAGAACTTTCATACCCTGGAAATGACAAACCCATTATTAATCTACAAACCTGATATAGTTAGACGAATTTCCATTTGCCTGATGGAATTGGAATTGTTCATAGAATACTTAAGCATGTCAGATTTAATTCCTATTTACTGTAAATATAACATTAGGTTTAACAAGCACTTAGATTTGCTGCTGCAGGTTATGAAAACCTGCTTTTTTTAGTAAAATATGAATGAATAGTTTGATATAAAATAAATAAATGTACTAAAATGTTATTAAAATATATCCATAAGAAAGCAAACTAAATTTTTATTTTCCTCCATAAGAATAATACAGGAATTTTCAATTAGAATCTTTTTGGACTTTTCTCCGCGACCTTTATTGTACAACAATATCTAGCCCAAACTATGTCTGAAATAGAGAAATGAAAATGAAAATTGGTCATTTTTGCTCTAAGGGGAAATAATTGGGGAAAACCCCCATTTCCCTAATGTTTATTAAAATTTTGTTATATTTCAAAACTCCATAATATCTTGTTCCAATTACCTGATCTTGCTGGATCACGAACTTAAGTAAGTTTACTTTATCCAACCCTGCACATTCATGCCAAATAATTTAACTTAAATCAGATGAAAACATTTTGTAGTTTGGGGAATGTTCTGGTGCTAGTTGTCTAAAAATAAAGGAGTATTCTGTATATGTGTATAAATACAAATTTGTAGTTACGATTAATTTTAACATCATTGAGTGGAAATTTCTAGCTAGAAATAGAAAATCAAGAGAAATCACTTACTTTAGCCATTGTAGAGTCTATCCGGTTTACATGGTAGCCGTCTACTACTACGATGGCATTGACGTCTCTCATGGCACAAGTCTGTACGATGACCTGACGCAGATACTCCGTTGCTGGGAACACTAGGCTCTCTCTGGGAGTAACAAGTAAAACATCCTCCCCTCCCACCTGTCGGGAACAACTGGATTGAAATTTGCTACAATAGTGATGGCCATTTATCATGCATTTCTCATTTATCATGCAAACACCACAATTCCTCTCTGTCAAATTATATTTAGGATTCATAGCTTGTCTTTGACTGAAAATGCAAAAAATCCAAAGAAAATCCTCTACAGTTTTTCCTTTAACAAGTAAACAGTGCAGAGGAAAACATACAGATTAGGCAGTTACAACGAGAAAATATTCTAAAATTGAGATGTGACCAACCACAAGGATGCGAGCTAGCTGACCTAGTGGTAAAGTGCGGGACTCAGCCCCTGAGGTCCCGGGGTTAAAACCTGCCAATCATCAAATGGATTTTATCTAAGTGATAATGCCGCAACCTATTGTCATAGCCTGAATGTGAAAAACAATTCCAGGTCTATTTTGAAAAAAATCACAAACATAATCCTATGCCTGAATTGTCCTTTTCTCAGATTTTCAGTAGTATCTACACTACCTTCAGGTATGCCAACTCAAATATTTGTATTTTTTCTCAATAATCTTACTTATATTATAAATGTGAAAGTTTGTGTGTTTGTTTGTTTGTTTGAAGTTCAATCACGCATTAACTACTGGACGGATTTCGCTGAAATTTGGCATGATGATAGCTCACATTCCCGATTAACATATAGGCATATTCTTATCTCAAAAATCCCTTCGGCCTCCACCCCAGTGGCTCTGTAGTTCCGCATGTTAACCTTATGAGTATTCATATTTAAAGGGAATTGAAGAATTTAGTCAGCTGTTTCAACTAAAAAAGTTGGTTCTATGATATGCAAAAGCATTAAAAAGGGTGCAGCACTATTATTTTTTATTTACGAAAACAGTTGATTTAAACCAAGCAGAAACAAAAAACCGTGATATGCAATGAGAACTGTCAACGTTGGATTGTTTACACTTATGTTTATGTTTTTAATTTCGTGAATAATTGTGATATTTTGCAAATCTTTAATAATTTATTTTTCTCTAATCGTTTATCTGAAGTGGTAGAACATCATGGCTATGGTAGATGTGTAATACTATAGTATACCGTAAATTTAAAGAAGGAAATTATATCAAACTGTGTCCTCCCTCATAGTAAACGCAAAGCTTGAGTATAAATGCAATAAGCATTTTATACTTATATGCCAATCCCGAACTCTGCTAGTTTAGTTCTATAATATAAATGACTATAATTCTTCCATGTATCCATATTATGCTACCATTAAAAATTAATACAAATAGAAATGATATTCCAACATTAAAGCTTATTTAGCCAGTTTTTAATGAAATTAACGTAGTTGAATCGAGCCATCGATAGAATGTTGATGTAAAGTCAATCAATCAATTAATCAATCAATTATTTAAGATGGGGATGCCACTATGTGCGTATTTTAACCCAAATATGAGTGAAGGATGAGTGTAGGATGAGTGGCGCGATCTTGTAGTCTTGTTAGTGACTAAGGCCGACATGTTCCTTAGACACAGCTGTTAATTAATAGCCCATACAGCTAATGGCAACTAAGGGACCTACAGTTTATTGTGGAATCCGAACCACATTTTTTCCTCGTAATCAACGAATTGGTGTAATTATTAGGATAGTAATGCGGATAGTCGTAGTACTCACTAGTGCGGACATTAATCCACACCAGGGAGCATCGCATCCACAGTGCATCCCTATAATTATCCACAATTCAAGACCTCCTAGTAGCTGGATTACAGGACGACGCCACCCGTCCCAGTATAATTTCTGTCAAAAACAACAACTTTATAACCAAGCCAAACAGTGGAAACTTACAACACCTAATCTTTGGACTAAGAAACAAGCAGACCACTTCATGGTAAAGGACTAAGGATTGGTAAAATAAAGATAGTGTTATGCTTTATTTAGCAGCAAAGATATAATAGGTTACCTGTTTGCTGTCAAAACAATCCTTAGGTAGTATGACGACTACAGCTTTTTGTGCTTGTAGAAAAGTAGCACATCATCGGGTCAAGGATGTCTTGCTAATATTCTCTTATGAGGAGTTTGTCAACAATTTTTAAATAAAACGGGGAACAACTGGTCGACCAAACAAGACACTGATTGAACACGAGACGTGGCGCCGATGGGGGGTAAGTCGCGACTACAAGCACGAAACAGCTGTAGTCGCCATTGTACTATTTAAGGATCGTTTTGACAGCAAACAGGTAACGCCCAATTTAAATAATATGATATAATGGAATTTAAATAATTCCATCATGAGAAAGAAAAAATTATTTGCAACACTCACCATGACCCATTGGAGAGACACAGAAGGTCTTGCGGAGTTGTACAGGATGAGCAATAGGTTGGTGGATATCCCAACAATCATACCAATCTCTAGTCCCAGCAGTAGGCAGGCAGTAAATGTCACCAGGAATGGGAGTAGGTCCATTTCTGAAACATGCAACCGTTGTAAAACTCTTAAGGGTCCTACAACACCTACTAAACAAAAATCTGAGGCTTATTAGGAATTTTTGGAGACCTTGTCAAGCAAATATAAAGGTTAAATACCTGTTATACTGTCAATTATCCGTTTTTGAGTCAGCGACCAAGGTTCATCATTTTCAAGATGTCCACCAAGTGGTTGAAACAATTCTCTTCACCCCTGAAGGTTGTGAAGTCATGAAATACATTTAACACTTACAAAAACACAAAAAACATTGAACAAAAATTTTGCCAAATTGTAATACTTAAAAGCGGTCATGTGTTGTAGCCGGCAGAAGGTGAGTCACACCTCACATCCCCAAGGATGAAGAGAATCTCTCCATCTTTTGAGAGGATCATCTAATTCTTTTTAAGGGAAAGCGGTTTGAACCCTTTGTTGTATGCCAGGAGTCGAACCTGTCTCTCTCAAACCAAAGCACAAAACTTAAACAACTAGGCAAGCAACGCACCAATTTTATCCTACTCACTTAAAAAGATTAGTCAAATGTTCTAAGTAAAAAAAAAAAAAAACCTAACCACTTATTCTACTTACTTTTTGTTCTCCACAGTAGTTGAACTGCCTCATACTCCACCATGTAGATCATGGCACATATGATTAGGCCGGACAGAGAGGCTTTGGGGATGAAGAAGAAGGCGTCGGTCAGGAAACCACATGATAGTAGAATCATCAGACCTGTGTACAGTAAACATTTTTATTCATTGCAGGCATTTTATTTTTTTTTTATTTACATGTGTTAAACCTTTTAAGATACATGTTTCAAAACTTTGGATATTTCTTACAGAATTTGTCACTAGTTTAAAGTACAAAGTTAGTAACTAGACTTAGTCATAAGCAATGGCGCTTCTAGGGGGGGGGGCAACAGGGGCTTAAGACCCCCCTCCCCATTGGACCCTGGAAAAATAAATTTAAACATATATTTCATTCTGATAATGTAACAGAGGTTTTCGGATTTAGTTCTAGACGTTAAAAATAGCGTTAGAAAGAAAAAAAAATACAAAATTTTACCTGCGCCCCCTCCTTTTATTCCACACCTCCATTGACAAGGGCCTAGAACTGCCACTGGTCTTTTTTTCCCCCTCTGGTCTTATGTGCAATAATGACTAAATCCATCCTGAGTAGCTAGCTGAATTCATCGCAGGTCTAGTTTCTAATATGTGTATATAAATATATATATGTTTTGTAAATAGTATAAATAAACCCAGTGAAAGGTGGCAACATTGCATAGCAGGTGTACACCCATTGTTTTATTAACTTTCTTTGTCTACACTTGACAAAGTAGGTACCGGGGGACAAAACTTTGAGTTTTGTGTCTTCAATGTGCAGGACTACAATGGCCAATTAAGGTAAACTGGTAAACTTGCTGATATAATCATTCTCTTCACAATTTCTTTATATCTTACATTTTTTAAAGCAATTTTCTCCGATTTACTACTAAATTGGTAAATTTACCATAAAGCCTAATGTTTGGATCACCACAAAGACATATTACACTACTGCGGTTTCTGAGGGTAAAATACCTGTAAAAACACCACCAAATGCAGTCTTAACCCCAGAAGCGTTGTTAACAGCTGTTCTGGTGAAGGAACCAGTTGTCGGCATCGAACTAAACAGAGAACCCAGAATGTTGGACACACCTAAAGCAACCATCTCTTGAGACGCATCGACGGTTTTACCCTTGGCTGCAAACAAAAGCAACATTTAGGAAAAATAAGAGTTTGAGCCCTTATACCAGAGAAATCTGATCACAGAGCGCAATTCATACCTGGCATTAGTTTTCCTAACAGCAGCTATAACCACTATATAAGACTGAGCATAATATAGAGATTGGGACAGACTAGACCAATTGAAAGGAATTAAATACACGTTGCTGGAGCCAGATTTAAACTTGCTTGTTTCGTTGTGATATGAACTCGTTGGAGAGCTAAATTTACAACTTTAGTATAACATAATTATACACAATGAAAGTATTTTATAAACTAAATAGAGTCATGTGGTTAGCTCATATGCTTTTTAAACTTTAAAAATAGGTTGGCAGCATTCTTCCACGTTGCATTTGCCCATTCACATATACCTCAGGCCTGTGTGTGTCAAGCAAATAAGGATTGAGCCGATACAAGTACAAGAATGAACTGTACAGATAAATATTAGGTGTCAATGGGATTCTAACCAACGACATCCCTGCCTACTCACCAAAAGCCTTAGCTATGGATATGCTTTCAAGGATGGCCACCAAGGGGATGACGATGATGCCGGATCCTAGTCGAGTAACCATCTCCGGCAGATATACGGTTCGGTTACCCTCCACAGTAGAGAATGGTGGGAGATTAAACGGCGGGAAACCAGATGCAACATCACCTGTGACGGAAATTTGGTTAGGTGACTTTTGGATACTGAAGTAGACATGGAAGTAGAAATAAACGGTATTAGCATACATACTTTCTACTATTAGCTTGTCAACAACCCTTATCATGGGCAAGAAGAGTAACTATGATATTTTAAGTGTAAAATCACAGTTGTGATAACTTTTGAACAGTAATTTTACAGAATTGGTAGTTGTACCATTTTGTTTAAAACTAAAAGGACCATAACATACTTACATTTTAACCAAAATCATTCAAGCAGTTTTTTATTAGATTATTTTGTTAATTTATGGGTTTTTATGGTTAAATCATGACTAAAAATAAAAATATCAAATAAATCAAAACTCCCTATAAATACCGAAATTAGTACCCACATATCAAAATGTTTAGCAAAACTGGGGGACAGGTGTAGCTTGTTTCTCTCTGTATACAGACACACACACACACACACACACACACACACACACACACACACACACACATCATCACTTTGGAAACCCAATCCCAAAACGGATAAATCCACCAAAAATCAAACTTAAATTTTTTTTCCTGTAGGTAACAGAATGTATGGGGGAGAAAGTAAAAATTGTAAAATATTGTTTGGTCAATTTGACTGCAATACCAGTTTTAATTAAATGACAGCTATCAACTGTTCCAGAATTCACTAGATTCCATTTATCTTTGTTTGTAAAAATAGTAGCGAAACATTGTTTATTTGTCTATCAACCTTATCAATGTATTGAACCATAGCTTGACATTTCATGATGTAACATTTATCATTGACCACTGATCCTTAGCTGCTAGTCAAATTATCTGTGGCAAATTGTACTGCTTTAGCAAGAGTGGAGCCAGCATCAGTTTACCTGTATATTTTTGTTATTAGAATATTTTATTGTTTCATAAACATCATACAATTTAGTATAATTCGTGTGTGTTGGATTGTTTTATCAAGTTTTTTTTTTCAAATTCAAAACATAAATTTCTACAAATGGGAAAAAAACATTAAAAATTACATCCATTACAAATAATTTAAGCATTGATTAGTTGTTAGTTGCATTAAGTTTAATGAATTTATGAATTATTTAGGTTGCTGTTATGGGGAGGAACTATGCATAGTTTTTGTTCAGTCTACATTTAAAAGCCCTCAAATTGTATAAATATTACTTTCTCCCACTATAAATAGAATATGGAGAAAGTATTGTTTTTGTCAAAAATTTTGAGTTTGAGTTTTAAGTGGATATATCCGAGAGATATAAAAGCACTCTTTACAGGTTTTTAGTATCTAGGCCATTTTATAAAATCCTAGAAGAATTTTTTGAGGTACCTTCATACAAACTAAAATCTGTTTTCTGTTAAACACTGTAGGCTATAGTTTTTCAAATGTTTATTATATTTGTGTTTGTCTAGTAATCTTTATGTTTTATTCCTTTGTGTATAGTATTTGCAGCTTAAATGTTTCTAAAGTAGACTCTCAGTAATCCGGCAGATATAGGACCATGATACTGCCGGATTAGTGAAAATGCCGAATTACTGGAAAGTTATCAATAACAACTCTTAAAATGCACAAATAAAGTCTGCGAAGATTGTGTCTACACGGCTGCCGGAGATGAACAGAATTTTGCCGCCATTGCAAAAGATAATGATAATGTCCATCATGATAAGGTACGAGAGATGATCATGAATTTGCCGCGATCGCGCAAGACGACGATGACAATCTGTGACCGCGGGAGTCAATAATGATGTCTACAAGGCTGCAGGAGATAAGCAGAATTTTGCCGCAATTGCGAAAGACGCCGTTGAGGTTTACATGACCACAGGAGACAATGATAATATCTACACGACTGCGGGAGATGTTAATGATTTTTCCGTGATCGGGCATGATGACGATGACGTTTTGTTGACTGCAGGAGTTGATGATGATGTCTACTCGACTGCGGGAGATGTTAATGATTTTGTGTCAGTTGGGCATGTCAACAATGACGTTTCCGTGACCGCGGGAGTCGGACAATGATGATGATCGCGCAAGACGGCGACGTCATTTCCGTGACCGCATGGGGGAATAAATGATGATGTCTCTACAGGCGCGGGAGATAATCAGAATTTTGCCGTGATCACAAAAAACCTCACCTGTCAAAAGACGCCGGATTACTGGAGTGCCGGAGTGGCGCAGTGCCGGATTATAGAGGATCTACTGTACTCAAATCTATTCAACCAAAAATGTCTATTCACTATGTACCTGTTACTGTATGCAATATTTCATGTAGCCAAACTGAACCATCTGATGTGGTCTATAACTGTAATTGCTCCAAACAAAGAATCTTGTATCTTGTATCTTTGGGTCCATCTGAACCCAAACAGTGGTTTTTGAAGAGATGTCTGTGTGTGTATGTGTGTTTGTCAGTCTGTGTGGATATGTACAGAGCTACAGACTACAACTGTAGTTTGATTTTAAATAATGCTATTTAATAATCCTGATATTTCACTAAAACAACCCCTACATGGTTTTATTTTTCTACTAACCAGTGAGCTGAAAGGGGTAGAAGCTGTTCTGATAAAAGATGAACGCGAGAAGCGAACCGGTAATCACAACAACTGCATTCCGTCCCACGTTGAGAAGCCAAATCGACCTTTTCAAAGCAGCTGGCCAATCAAACCTAGCCGTTCTTTCTTTGAAACACTGAAACAAAATAATACATGATATACAGTATACAAACAAAGACTTTCAAAAATATTAAATTTAGGATACTAGTCTGTTGTGGATTTCTTATGTACATCCTCTAGAGCAGGGGCAGCAATTAGAGGGGACATGGGAGACAGTCGCTCCCCCACTTTTAGAAGAATGTAGAATTATCAATGTAAAGTTTATACAAAATATAACCCCATGCTTTCCTGGCTTTTGGTGGTCCATTGCCCCTAATGTTCTAGTGCACATGTACATGTTAGGAATCTCCGTAGGTACAAATAACTTTAAAATTTTATTACCAGCTAAGTTTATATACTTTTAGGTCTGATTTTCAACACAGGTATAATAAGAATGTAAACACAACCAATGTGTCTTAATTTTTAATGTGTAAGGTTAAGATTTTTGCCTTGGGTTTTAAAAGATTAATTATCTGAAGATTAACACGACTTGTAATGGCAGTAAATTTTTTCCGTACCTTAATGGCAATTAGTGTAACAATCGTAACCAATCCCAAGACAGAGTCTCCAACCCTCAAGTTCTGAATGTTTGTGACAAAATGACTGATGCACTCGACAAATCCGTCGGGGTGTCCTTTGAGCCCAAAGAGGTTTTTCAGTTGGGAAACCAAAATCGTTACTGCGGCAGCCGACGTGAATCCACAGGTCACAGGCATTGAGATAAACTCCACCAAGAACCCTGAAATTATTATTTTTATTGGTTGATTTGCCCAGTTTTAAGAACTATTATGCCCAGTTTTAATAGGCTATGATAAAATCATTACTTCAAGTTCTAGAATAATTTATTTTTCTAATACCGGTACCTATAATCCAATTGGATTATTTTGACCTACATGTGGCATTATAGCTGGGTAGACAATTAAGTGGTTATAGTGCTCACCAAGTAATCAAAAAGTCTTCGGTTCGATCCTGGAGAATGGTTAGCACCGTTTTAATGGTTTGAAACTGGACCCAGCTGTCCTTGATCATTGGGATTTTAATAAATGGTTCTGGCTAAGAATCATGTTCATAGTTTGTGTTATGGAATCTGGCTTTTGACAAAATAACAAAGCGATGGTGCCAGGGAAGGATTCTCGCAAACGCATCTCGCTTGCCAATTTAATTTAAACAATCTATCATTTTAGTCAAGCTGGGTTGGCATGGCACGACTACTTAAGTAGGCCTAGTTGGTTGCCTTGATTAGCCTAGGATGGAAGCAGGAACATTTAATACAAGGTTTGAGGCTCATTGGTGTCTTTAAGTCAACTGGTGTTATTTGTAACCTTGAACAATTGCTTAGGAGGCGATTGAGCAGTGAGCACCACAACATGTTTAGGTTACAATTTTATTTTCTAGTTTGGTTTTTGAACTCAAATTTACTCACCTAGCCTAAGGAAACCGAACAACAATATGATGCATCCAGTGGTGAAGCACAACAGTATCGCATACTCCGGCCCTGCGTTGGCTACGTATTCATGAGATAGCAACGCCATGATGGCTGTGGGACCGATGGTGATATCTTTGGTGGACCCAAGGATGGCGTAGACAAAACATCCCACGAACCCCGAGTAGAGGCCATACTGGAAAATGTTTGTGTAGAAAAGTAGAAGAACTTAATTTACCGGTATTAGTATAAGGACAGACAATAGACGGACTTTGCCCTGTGTACAATAAGCAGCTAGCCCCACAATGGACACCGGAACGGACGACAGTTTGAGTTCAGACCTAGGTTACTAAAGACGTAACTGCCTGTTCTGGTCAATCCTGTTTATTTACTAATCAGCATAATTTAATATTAATAATGTGATTACTATAATTTTGTCGGTTATAACCTAAATAAACAAAAATAGGTACCATATATTCCAAGAGATAGTTAACAAATGATTTTTAGAACATTTCTAGTCAATGTTTAGGCTACAACTACAGAAAACGTTATAGACATCCCAAGAACAAAACAACCTGTGCAGAAACAAAAAGATCACGTGGTTCACGCTGGTGGGTGTGGCGTACCCTTCAAACCTGCGCGGCTTGAAATGGCCCAGGGCTCTTTTGTTTCTGGGATGTCTATAGGCCTTAAAACTCCCTAAGAGAAATTCAGCTTTTTAACCTGGCTTTAAACTTTATATTTAACTTAAATCAATTCAAGAAACTCCTTCAAGCTGTTAAGGATTTTCTTTGTACATCCAAAAAAATAATATATTAGCCTTACTTAGAAGCCCTTTCTTTAAATCTCACAATGAACGATTAACCCTAGGTAATTGGAGAAGGTTGTCTTGCAAAATTATTTTGAGTTTTTTAATCATTTTTTTCAAATTAGGCCTATTTTAACTTAGTAAGCTTATTTTATTTTATTTTAAGAGGTTGGCGGCCTCTTTAAACCTTGCTTTTATCCGCCCCCATATGTTTCGAACCAGTTTGAATGGAACATCAAGCTATAAGTAAGGGGCAAGTTGGTAAGTACCGTAATACTAAAAGAACAAACTTTACTGAAATATTTTAGAAAGGGGCTACTCTGCATAGTAACACAGAAGGGCAAAAGATTAAAAGTATAATATTTGCACAGAGCCACAACAAAGCAATTGCCATCAATTTAGTTTCCAATAACATACCAAAGGTAATTAACTTACCTTTGGCGGCAGTCCTGCCACGACAGCGTATGCAATGCCCTGTGGTATTGCAGTGAGACCTACTGTCATTCCAGCGATGAAGTCGCGTATCAACCAAGTTATGGTATACTGCGGCAGCCATTGCAATATGGGGAAGAAGCGCCTAAGTGTATGTTTATCACAGTGTGGCTGGCATGGAAAACTTGAGCTGGAGTCTACATTGGAAACTCTAATATCTGTAAAAATGGTGGTATAAATCAACTTGGATTTGGCACAAAGAAACAAAAATACACACATAAAACAACACATTATGTAGGATATCCATGACATGGATATTAGGGGTAAGCATACATTACGATACCTAACATAACACATAAGTTAAGTAGCCAAAATTTATCGTGAACGAAATACTGTACCTATATCATGTTAACCAAGAGGAAACTACCCAACTCACGTTACAAATGAAAATGATCCAAAAATTACTCATATTAAAAATAAAATAGTAAAAATTAAACACAAAAATAAACTTACCACATCCTTCGAATTCCCTAGATAATCCTATCAGTCTAGTTGTATCACTAGTCTCTACAATATAACTACTATGTCCAACACTATCAGTTGAAACACTTGAATAGTTCCTTCTTACCTCATCTACTGTCATTTTAAGCAAATTAAAACCTTAAAACATACTATTTTGACAAATAAGTTACGTTCTCCTTATTCAAAGACACAACACACATAGTTTGTTTACAAATTTCTGTATCGGCTGCATTCTCTTTGTTGTGGTTGTGGATGATTTTGTTGATTAGGTTAGCACAGCAACGGCAGCAACAAGTAACTAGATCAGCTGTTAGCCCAAGCCCATATTTAATCAATGCTGCCAACGCAGGAAACATTTTCGTCGATGAATTTCTAAAACCAACGGTCGTTTCTCTCATTTACCAAATCAAATCGTTAATAGTTTTGTTAATTAAATTTTAAATTAAATCTAGTAGTAGAATAGTGGGTGGTTTAATTTGTTCAAAAACTGTATAAAGGAGACAATCGTATATTAATTTTTAAACAACATACATACTTCCATTAATTTAAAGTCTAAAAGCAATATATTATTCGAACACCATTATGGAATACATTTTCAACTGTAATGTCATTTTTCGGGGAAAATTGCAGTGAAGAACTATCGTAAAAATATGCTGTCCTAAATATCAGTTTCGAAATAATTGTGTGCTATCATTAATCAAGCATCTTATATTGTTTTCTTGCCTCTACAATGTTTCAGTTTTTTAGAGACGAATAAAATGACGCTTATGTTCTTATACTATTTTACAATAATTTGTATGGTACCCGTAATAATAGTGGTGTATTTATTGCAGTGTTTTATTTTTGTTAGAATATCTTTTGTTCTATGAGTTTTCCATTGATTTTTCCCGGAAATATAAATATTACAGACAGTAATTTTGATAACTTATCTGAAACGGCGCAAGGCAAGCTAACAGCAAAACTGTCCATGACCTCTACAATATCATTAGACCTATCGTTATTTGATTTAATAACAATCACATAATGCTAAACATAATATTTTTACTAATAGATAAGATTTTACTCTACTAAACAGTACCTATATTTGTCTACAAAAGTCGCAAATTTTCTTTGCAATGCTATTATTAAATAATTAATTGTATCCCTATATACTTTCAACACAGCATTGTCCTACAAATTATCACATTAGTAGGCCTAATATTACAAACAGTTAATTAGGCCTATACTATAGGCATTTGGGGGCCACCAGTTTATTCTTAAATAGAAGAGAGCTACTGGATGCCTACAGAGGGGCTGCTTTATTGCATTTATTTTTAAATGTGATTTATACCGCAATTAATACCTAGTTTGGAATATATATTTTATTATTTTAAAATCGTCACCAGAAAATTGTTTCCATAAACTTTAAGATTCTAAAATTAAATGCATTTTACAGTGTGACGATCGAACTACAATAATTTTTGCTAAAGATAAACACACAATGTGCCATTTTCATATCACTGACCATGTTCTTATCTTTACACGCTGACCTTTCAATCAAACCCCAATTAACTTTAATCAGTCAAATTAGAAAATCAAGGTGATGACATTTTTGTATAAATTTACTCAGACAGTAATTCTATAACATCTGACTATTGTAAAACTGAAGATTGTGTGGTTCATGTTGGTAACAATGATAGCTTGATAGCTCTCATTTTGGTGAGCACTTTTTCACCTCAAATTAGTTGACGAATATCGAAACTGGAAAATCGATACTTTTACAGCTCGATTGTTTTTAGAATTTAGTACATCGCGATATCGATAGTCCACTCCCACTCCATCCATTCCCGTTCTCCTTTGACTTGTGACTTGACACTGACTGTTTGAATTTAATAATGGTAGATCATTAAAGGAGAGAACATATATGTAGCGCCTAGGGACGTAATGTCAATTTTTTAAGAGAATACATAAATTTGGTAATACCTTACGAACAAATTCTTCTTCTGTTTCTATTTATCAGTACTGTAGATAGTAATGGGAATAAAATTCAATGTCAACAGTTGAAAAGATTATTGCTAAGGTTATGTTCATCACGGGACCAGAATTTGTTTAATCAAAACTGAATATCATCAGATGGAGGCCATTTCTATTACCTAATTTGTATTATTATATTATTGTTAGTATCAACCCAGCTCTTGTAAAAAATGCCTCCTTCCTGAGAGGGAGTGTAATTTACTATTTCCCTTGCTTAAGACTAATAATTTTAAAGCTTAATGATGAATTAAAAATTACAAAATTATTACCTTGATCAAAGTTCTTAGAATTTTTTTTCCTGATTCCTTCATTAATCTTATTTTATTTTTTGTCTGGAGGTCGATATGATATAGTACTCAAGAGAGTATTGAATTGAATGTAACAGTAAACTTATTTAGTATCAATTTATTCAGCTCAAGGGGTCTCTTTTAGTTCCATTCAAGCAATGATAAATCATGTTTATTTTCGGGCCAAAACGTCATTTTTTAATGTTTATGATCCATACTGGTATTTTTCTAGTAATCGTGCTTTAAGTCAGTCTCAGTCAAACCAATAAAATTTACTCCGATTCTGATTCGATTACTCTAAAACAATCGAGCGGTAAAAGTATCGATTTTCCAGTTTCGATATTCGTCAACTAATTTGAGGTGAAAAAGTGCTCACCTCTCAGTTTAGGGTTTATGATTTCGCTGTGCTGTTTGGTTATAAAACCAGTAGACAATCTATTGTTTACAATTAAATCGTGTTATTTGGTTAAACTGGTTTTAAATTACTGAAATAACCAAACTGTAAACTAAAACACACCCCACCTCTATAAATATGAATCGGACGAAACGTATTAAAATTGTTGTCAGTTGATCCGTAATGATGACAAATCTACATGGTATACTAAGACCCAAATGCTACTTAACATTTACCAGAAATAAATTTCAACGTGCACAATTATCAGAGCCTTTGATCATGTGCCTCAGAAACTATGTAGGCTGGTAGGCAGGTTTGATTTGTATGATAGTTTTTAAAAATGTAAATGGTAGCAATGAAAATGTCCTGTATCAGATTTAAGAAAATATACATGCAATTTAACCAAGCCCGCTGCTGTTTAGCTTGAATTACGTCATTATGTCCTAAATGGTTTGACGTGGGGTTAGAATAAAGTTATAATTATAATAATTTCTTAATCAGTGCAAAAGCTCTTGAAAAACATAAAGTCAAGGAATTCATGTTTCAGGGAAAGTAGAAACATCACCCTTCCGTCTCCCGTCTACGTTTAGACGATAATGGATCAATTTTCTGAAGATTACCCAGAAGCTGCGTTGGTATTGGGACTACGTGCGACGACAGTAGCGCCGGAAGCGAACAACGGGCGTTCAAGGAACTAGCAAGACTTCCGGAAAGGAAATACGCTTTTGAAACAATTATCAGCTGTTTGACATGTATTTTGTAGTCTAACCATGTAACGTGTGATTTATATAGTCTAATGACCAATGACCTACACGGAAATATTGATAGCGTGTGTTATACCACGGATGATTTTAAGAGCTTATAAAGTATTGTAACAAAATTAGTTTTAACTACTTTTAGCTTTGTGTTTTGTATATGAGTTAGTTTTTGAAACGAGTGAAAACCCTGTTTACTGTTTTAACTAAAAAAAAACAACAAACAAATTTTCATAAAACAAAAACTTTCAAAATGTTAGTCTATATGAATAATTACAATTGTGCGTATCATTAATAGTTTTTTTGTTATTTTGAAGAAAATTCTATTAATCGTTACATTCCTCACTTTAAGCTTTTTTTTCAAAATAAGTACTTTAAAATGGTAAAACATTTAGAAAGTCTTATAAGAACATTTTCAAATGGGATATAAGGGAGGGTGAGATTTTCACCAATGCATGTTATCAAAGTGAATGCCGCAACCCCTGGGGCTAGCCTAAAGTAATGCTTAAAACTATCTCTGGTCTTAGGTGTGGGGGGGAGGGGGGATATCACAACAACAATTTTGCAACTGAGCTCAGAATAGAGGGAAACCGGTACAAGAATAATCCTCTGGATCGAACTGGCAACATTGGTGAAACAATATCACAGATTCACGTGTTGCATGTTGTGGGATTCCATGACGTGTCCTGGGTTGTCAATCATTCCCGGACATCACTTGACGCTGCGGTCACTTTCCTTCCAAGGAGTCACACTTTTACCCGCAGAATCTCTCGGAAGCATCAGCAGTGGTCGTGGCTTGCATAACCACTCGCGAATCCTTCGCGAAGACCGTCGTCCCATCAACATGAGTTAAACAAAACGTTCCATTCTCATTTGTTGACTATTTTGAAATAAAACTAACGTTGGTTGTGCTGTTGTCAATGATACACAAACTGAAAAGTCAACTGCCACAGAAGCTAACTGAACCCAGCTGTTCCTGACCATTTTGCTTTTAATAAATATCCTGACTAAGAGCCTTAACGGCCTTAAAATTAAACAGAGCCTTAAGATTAAATAGCTGGTCCTAGTAAGTAACAAAGCTACACAGATCATCTCACACGATTCTACACTCATAGTTGGGCTAAAATAAGCAACTATGACGTCCCGGTCCCCATCTCAATGAATTGATTGATAGTTAATTGATTGATTATTTGATTAAACAAAAAAAAGGTAGGGAACGTAGATTCAGACTGAATTCAGTATCCAAA